GCAAGGCTCGGGGGTCACCTGCTGAGAGGGGGGGGAGGGGGGTATACGCATAGAAGCAAAATAAGTATTTTATTTGTTTTTTAGTTGTTTTCTTTCTGCTTAATATTAAATAATAAAATAAATAATGTTTTATTTATAACAGCAGCAGCAGCGGCAGCAGCAGCAGCAGCAGCAACAGCAGCAGCAGCAGTAGCGGACTCTGGGGGGTGTCTCCGCTGCCTTCACTGTCTCCTGCTGCTGCTGCTGCTGCTGCTGTTTGCTGCTGTTGCTGCGTTTATATTTATATTTATTTAATACAAATACCACCGATGCTGTATTTCAGGTGTACATACACCTCAACTCAACAACAAGCCCAGTGAACGGCAGGTGCTGCTGCATAGAACCAACCGCAACACCACCACCAACAGCAGCAGCAGCAGCAGCAGCAGCAGCAGCAACAGCAGCAGCAGCAGCAGCAGCAGCAACAGCAGCAGCACGGCTGTGGCAATAGTTTTTATATTTGGTGACGCAAAGCAGCAAACAACCACCAAATAGAGAGACAGAGGATAACGAGCTGCCTATACACCTGAGCTGCCTATACACCTGAGCTGAGCTGCCTATACACCTAAGCGCTGCGGTGTTCTCTGTGTTGTTTGTTGTTTATTTGTCGTTTTTTTCTGAATATAGGATTTATAAAAAGAATTATATTTAATTATTTTAATTTATTTTTGTTTTTATTGAGGCGAAAGGCAAACAGAACGAGAGAAGGAGGAGAGGAGGCGGGCAGGTAGCCGCAGCAGTAGAACAGCAGCAGATAAACAAATAGAAACAAATAAAAAAATATAAATAAATAAAACAAAATAAATAAATAAATAAAAACACTAAGCAAAACAAACAGCCAGAGACTGACACAGGCAGAGGCCCCCACACACACAAACACAAAAAGAAGGTTAGCAGCAAGCAGCAGCAGCAACAGAGAAAAACAAATAAATAAAGAAAAATAAAAAAGAGTAGATAAATATATATAAACTGAAATAAACAAATAAATGAATGCACATAGGTAGACGAATAGAAACAAACAAATATAGATAGAGACAGAAAAAAAAAACAAAAAAAAAACAAAAGAACAATCAGATACAGACAAACAAACAGATACAGAAAAACAAACAAAAACACAAAAACAAAAAAAAATAAAAATAAAAAAAAAAATAAATTAAAGAAAAAACAAAGCAGCAGACACAGACACAAAGACAAACAAACAGAGAACTAAATAAAAACAACACAAACCAACACGAGACAAAAAGAAAAAAAAAAGAAACAAAAGAGATAGATAAAGAGGATACACCAGGCCCTAAGGAAACAAAGGGGGCGATGAACAGACAGAGAGAAGAGTAGTTGCAGCAGCACACGGGAGACAGAAGCAGCAGCAGCAGCAGCAGCAAAAAAAAAAAAAAAGAGAAGCAGCA